CGTCTCCGCTGCTGTAGAGGCCAGTGGCGGCGTGCTTTACACCATTGCATCCGGTGCTTTGCATTGCACTTGGTGATGTGTGGCTTGGCTGCAGCTGCTCGGCCATGGAAACCCGTTCCATGAAGCTCTCTGCGTACTGTACTTGGGCTAATCTGAAGGTCACATGAAGTTTGTAGCTCTGTAGCAATTGACTGTGCAGAAAGTCAGCGACCTCTTTGCACTTTATACACCTGTGGCCAGGCCAAGGGATTAGGACACCTGATTCTGATCATTTGAATGGGTGAGTGAATACTTTTGGTAATATAGTGTATGTTAACACTGCCCTTTTTTATTGGTCAAAGTAATTTTTGACTGTTTAGTATATTTGCTGCTATGAATTCTAACTTCACCTGTTCTATACCATGCTGGTGTGAAGATCTCGCATTTTTGGATCATCTACTATCTTTTATTACAAATTATTTTCAATAAGTCTTACAGAAGGTACGAAAAAAACACCGTACACAACGTCATCACGTCGTCCTAACCACACGGAAGTATGACTGGTAGGCGACAGTCATGAATGACGACACATCAGCAGAATTTAACAAACGCTTTAAAGTAGTGATGGGAAGACATACTCTTTTTATTCATTCGAATCTTTGACTCTCGAATAGTAAAATGAACGAGACTTGAACTAATCATTTCGTTCGTTTTACAGCAGGTTGCGCTTTAGCCCTATTGTGGGCGTTGTAAAGAAGGTTCTCCGACACTAAATACTGAAGGCAACATGGTTTGCTTCCGCTGACAAAGTCTACAAAGTACACAAAAAGCCATAAGCAATTAAACCATGCGAATAACTAAGAAATAAAAACACACCACAATGTGAAGATGAATGAGAGCAAAAGAGCTCTCTGTCACGTGACAAATGAAACGAATCTGCAGGAAGAAGCGAAAGATTAGCCCACAGCGAAATATTAGTTCACAGCGAAAGATTAGTTCACAGAAAGTGATTCGTTTGCGACGAAAGGTTAGTTCACAGTGAAAGATTAGTTTACATTGAAATATTAGTTCGCTGAGAGTAATTCGTTCGTAGTGAAAGAATACATTGAAAGATTAGTTCGCAGAGAGTGATTAGTTCGCAGAGTGTGATTAGTTCACAGTGAGTGATTTGTGAGTGAATCGTGAGTTCAATATGAACAAATATTTAATATGACTCGGGAGTCGCGAGTCACGAATCTTTCATATGACTCGGGAGTCACGAGTCATATCAAAATCGCGAACGACACATCACTACTTTAAAGATTAATAGTATACGATGACGAAAATGAGAGGAAGAACCCCACGCTGTAAATAAATAAACAGACGAATGAAAATGCATTGCCTGTTTACTTTTTTTTCGCTGAGGCATAAACAACACGCCGTTTATGTTTGTTATTGCTTTTCTTTCGCATTTTGAACTTATTTTGCGCTTAAAGTGTGAAATGTGTATTAAAGTATGTACAACACTGACGCAGAACTCTTTAACCTTGACTTGCTTTAGCTTGCTCGCACTTGTGCGCAGCCTGGCTCTGCAACAAGTTGACATTTGGGTGACGGAAACAAACAAACAAGAGAAAAACAAAATTTCCTGCAATATAGTGTTAATAACAGTGGCCCAAAAATGACATTACCATGTTTTACGTGAGAGAAAGTCCTCTATTTTTAGCAGGTTCCTGCCTCTTCTTCTTTCGCTGCGGCAGCAGTTAGTGAGCAGTCTAACTATGACGTAAGAAGCTAAAAACAAAATCTCCCACGAACTATTTTTTATTTTTATCGCACGCTCCCTCAACCACACACAGAGGGTGTTCACTGATTTAAAAAAAAGCTTTTTCATAAAAATCTGCGTGAAAAACCGTGACAATTATTTCGAACAATATAAGAATTTCTTTTTTATTAATTTCGTGATTATTATTACTAATAATAGTAGTAATTTTTATTACGAAAAAATGAACAGTGCTAAGATAAATCTTTGAGGAAAAATAGCAAATCTAATAAACTAGTTTCACTACGGTAAAACTGTAACTTTGATAATATATTAAAGTTAATATTCGAAATGTTAGAAAGCACAACATACATTTTTCTTTTGTCTACCAGGGGGTGTCCTTATCAAAACACATCAAAACATACAAATGTATTTTAGTAACTGTATTTAATATGTTTTAAAGCAACTTTGCTCTCTCTTTATATTATGAAAGTAAGAACACAGGTCAGAGCTGTTGTTTATTGAAATCATAATAGCAAACTGATACAGTGAAAACAAACAAACACACTGTTGCTGATCTTTTATTTAGTAAATATTATTTACACATTTCCAATAACACATGCTACACATTTTTATCTACAGCTCTAAACAATAAAAACAGCTCTTAGGAAACAAAAATACCTGATGACTAAGTAAAACGTCATCTTGGCTTTAAACACTGAGAAACATTCAAGTTATTTTTCATTTGTCTTTTTTCATATATATTTTAAACATTTTGTAACCATTTCAGAACAAGGCCTCTTAAACTATGCAGAAGTGATTGTGCAGCATTTATAAGACTGTATATTCCTGGTGCTGCTAAAGCTCCCTTTGGTTTGTGCTTTTCTGCAGCGCTGATATTAGCACCCAAACATATGGAAAAGAGCATCAGGGTCATCGTCAGTGAAATTAATGATCTTATCAGTCAAAACTGTTGTTTTATATTATGTTTTTGTTTTTTTTATTTAACCTGATGTTGTGTGCCTAAAAGGCGATGTTGCAATTCCACCTTATGGTTACTCAAGATAAACTGGTGCTACAAAGCAGTGCAAGTCAGCCATTTTCCCTATTATTGTTATGCCTATTACATAAAAGAACAATTATTTTACCTGTGCTGGATCATGGTTGAGCTGCCAGCTAACTTAAGCAGGTATTTCTTTACGTGTTTGAGTTGTTGTTTGAGTTTACAGTAGCCACACTTTTGATAAGTGTTAGCAGACAAACTTACTACATACTTATCTACTACTGCAAGAATTTCAGTATACAGTATATCTGAAAGCTGTGTCTTTCTCTAAGATGAACATGAAGTCTCTAAATGTTCAAACAAGCCACTCACCACGCATTTTACTTTATATGCTAACAACTGTTTTACATCCATATTATGGAATGGGTACGTTCACAAATGGTAATGTAGGTACCAAAAACAAAAGTGATTGAAGTGACTGTCCATAGCTTCCAAAAGAAAAAGAAAAAAAAAAAAAAAAAAAAAAAAAAAATTTAAGTGCAAACCTCTAAACTACAGTTACGTATGCAGATTATATAGTATGCCGTATGTCTTTGTTTGCTCATAATTTTGTAAGTGAAAAGGGTAACCAGTGGAATTGGCAGCCATGCATTTGACTGTTTGCAAATCTACTATTCAAACCCAAAGTAGTAAGAGGTAAGAATGCAGCTGTGCACACACTTTGAATAAGGTGCAAACCAAGTTTAAAGTATTATTGTCAGCGGCCAGAGATAACCACTGCTCCAGCTACCCAATGTTACACCACCTTGATCTAACTTACTCTAATTAATTATAGTTCTAAAGATTTGGTCACGAGGTGCATTTTTTATATATCATACATATATCATATATCATACAAATTATGTTGCACCTGAGAAGAGTAGAGAGTTTACTTATGGACTCATTCAACCTTTATTTATGGCGCCCTCTGTGGGTAAGGTTAAGGAGCTTTGTGCATTGTGTTTACTAATACTTGCTAAAACGTCAAGCTTATACTCTACCTTATATTAATAAAAGTATTGAGTTGGAAATAGTTATTGTTTTTGATCATAATGTATTGTAAACAGATTTAACAAAGAATTAAAACAAATCTGCTCTGAAAGTGTGCCACACTCCTTCATCTGGTTCATCGTCTCACAATGATGCCAAAAGATTTGGATTGCTTTTCAAAATGACTGCTGCCATGTGGCATTTAGAAAAAGAGAAAATTACTGTAATATGATTTAAAGCAATTTCTGCAACTGCTAAGAGCACCAGTGCCATCCCTTTTCTTTAGCACATTTTTACATGACGATGTGTATAAAACCCTGTTCATGCAGTGCAGTTAAGTCAGTGGTTGATACAGGCAAGACATTGGTTCTTGTCATTAAATGGGTTCAAACTACTTCAACACTGTTGGCTCTTTTTGGGGCTTTATCTAAAACTAGGTTCTGTAAAGAAATGTATAATAGCAAAATTTAAAAAGGAAATCAAAGGTCAACGCTGCATGTAGTATTTACTCTTTTTGTCAACAATGCGTGTGATGTACGTCCTCATAATGTAATTTATACAACATGGCTCCTATTCAACTATTAGTCACTGTTCATATGATTTACTTGTAAATTGAATGTATACTACTCTATATAATAGATGTAAGTGAACATCAGCACAAGGAATATTTAGTGTTTCTTTTTTCTTTAACAACAATGTGTGTATTACTCGGTAATACTATACGATAATGCTCACTGCCTGCAGTGCACAATGGTAGGTAACTGCATTGAGGTCATGCAAGTTACTTGCACTTCATTCAATATATCTTTTTCTTTACAATACTACTCATCTCCATGCCTACGTGTGCAATCAGTTGATCACACAATCCATCATGACAATCTTAAACACAGTAAACTGTGACATGTGCAAAACAATCAACAAAATGTTTGATCTTCACCTATTTCTTTTTCTTTAAAATCTTTTGGTTCATAGCACAGTAATCCTGTGTTTTCACCTTTTTGTTTTTTTTTACAGCATACAATCCTTTTTAACGTTCACCAGGCTGCTTCTGCTCGGTGTGTGTATGTGTATGTGTGTATCTCTTCAGGAACAAATGCCAGAAGATGCTTTAGATGACTTTACCTTACAATAAAATTGCCTGCATGTTCACGCCTTACGCAGCTGACCTGTGCTGACGTGCAGGGACTTTTTACTGTTGGCTGTATGGAATCATCCAGCTCAGTGATAGTCATCGTCACCAATTGTTTCTAATCTAACCCAGGTCTCCACTTTAAAAAGAGATTTAATCTCAAGACACCTGGTGGTTAAATATAGTTTAAATGAATATACTACAGTGACTCATTTCAGGTCTATTAGGAAGATATGATGCTGTATAATCTAATACTGAAGGAATCTGGAAACTACAACTTTGTTCAAAATGCAGAACACTTTTTAACTGTTTTTTTGTTGTTTGTTTGTTTTTTGTTTTGGCAGACAGACCATTCTGGTAAATACAAGTGACCAAATTGTCTTCCAAACATAATCAATTTATATGCATGGATTGCTTTGGTAGTAATGTAGGTGTTAGTGTGTATTTTTGTACAACCTGGGAAGTCAGAGAAGAAAGGGTCCTTGCTCGAAGAAACTGCTCTGCAACATTTATCTGATATTTGCCACACGTTTTGTGTCCATGTTGCTTAAAAAAGAAATTCTACACAAACCAAAAAACTTTTCCGTTTACAGCCAATAAAAATAACACTATATATTATTTATTTTGCTCAAATATCAATACCAGTACGATGTAACATAAGATAATTTCTTGTTGGACATCTATGGTTTTTAACTTGATATCTAAGAAGCAGAATATAGTGCTTGTACAATTAGTCATAAACCTTTACCTTATTAGTCACACTTGAAGGGGTTTCTGGGAATTCTTCTACAGCTGTGGTTTTGACAGCAGTCAGGACTGGATAGTGTGGACTGAACTTAAAAGGAGTCATTGAAGCACAGGTCAGTGTGTGCCTGTACAACCACGGTATCTGTTTATAAGCAATAAGTTTGTTTAGAAACTAGTTCATGTTGCATAGGATTTGTAATTTTAATTTTAAATTTTAATTTAAAGGTGAAAACCCGTTTGTTTGGGAGCACCCTACCTATATGTTCTTTTTTCTGCTTTTGACCTTTATTAATAGTGTTGAATGGGTTTTAAAATACTAAATTTCTACTTTAAAACACAAGGTAAAGACATACAGTAGCTTTGCTAATTGTTCTGTTCAGACATTCAAACCCAAAGTGTTCAGACATTCAAACCCAAAGTGGATAAAATCTGGATTTACCAAAAAATAAATTTTCTTAAGATTTGCGCAAAAAGAAACTCCACCAAGCAAGATGCAAAAAAAAAAAGTCTCTTTATGTTTCTTGTGGGTGTTAAATCTAAATCACAGACATTTTTGTTGATTTGTGACTCTCCTGTGTCTCATGTCATTGAATGCATTCAAATGTAAACTGAGAGGCCACAAATCAAGGAAAGATAGTAGGAGACATTCTTCCTGAACCGTACTGGTTGTACACAAACATTAATAAACTGAACAACTTTTCACATTTTCTCACTGATCCAAACAAGCATCTTAATTAGCGTGGATGACAACAGTAGCTGACTTCTGGCAGCGGCTCTTATGGTTGGATCTGTTTGATTGGATGGTACTGTACATGTGGTTGTGTAGATTGTACAAATACTTAAGGGTAAAGTGTTACATCTCTGAGACTTTGTGTTGTGTTGGTGTTAAGTTGCTGGTTGTTGCAGCTGAGAAGCAGCACTTGGTTGTCAGTTCAGGTTCAGTGGTATTCAGTTAGAATCATAGGTGGAAAATGTCTGTGCCAGCAGAGTCCTTTTTGGGAAAAATAATTTCGACACATAAGAAACACAGGATAATCAACACAAGGAGTTCAGTGAGGTTTACGTCACTGTGGACTATCTGTCATGTGCACTAAGCTAAAAATACAAAGAACTTATCTGTGGCGCAAAGGCTGGACTGAACTAACCTCAAAATCCTGGGGGAGGATTTGAAAAAAAAAGTGTAGGAAAAGGACGGGAAGGAAACGTGTGCCTGAATAATTGGGGCGTACCTAGTCAGCAGGGTTTTCTCCTCTACTAAGATTTGTCCACACTGACCTACTCCACAGCAGATCTGTCCTTACCATTTGGTCAGATGACAGCAGAAGAGCCAGAAGAAGAGTTTGAGTTAGGGGAAGAGGGAAGGTTCCAGAAGAGCCATTTGCGTTTGCACTGTCGTCTCTGGTACAGATAGTCCTCCTTGTCGCGCTCTTTGCGTGATCTTTGGTAGTGGTCATCCTCTTTCAGGTACCAAACAGGTGGCCAGCGATGTTTCTCAAAGTATTCTTGGTTTTCTGCATTAGAATGAACAGTTTGAGTTTGAGTAATTTATGTGACTGTTATGTAATTTATGTGACTGTTAGGAAAGGCATTTGTCTTCAGGATTTTTTCATGATAGATGATAAATGATTTTTTTTCAAGATAGTCTGAATTGCACAAATGCGCTTTCCCCCTTTATGTTAAGTGTGGCAGTTTTGGATCACAATAAAGCATGAAAATATGATTTTTATCAAATAATTTCTCTTAAATTGCCTATGCAACAGTGACAGGTAGAATCATTAAGTATTATTCCACTAGGTGGCAGCAGATGGCCAGCTTTTCAAGAAGACCTTAGTGTATCTTAATGTGTCTTTCTTAAATTCCTGCAAGTAAAACAGTATTATGTTCAAGTAAATATGACCAGGTCTCACACCTGGTAGGTACGTAAAGTAAATTGTAAACTGAGTAATTGAAACTAGAAGATAATTATCATTACCTAGACATCTCAAGTTATGTCCTCCACAATGCATTTAAGTACAATGAGTAATTCACTTACCAGAGGGACTCTGTACAAACCTAGAACTCTGGAGATGGCAATAGATGATGTAGAGAAAGAATCACCAACAATCCCTAGCAATAACTTAAAAATGGTTGGAAGACACCGTTGTAGAAAAAATTAATCTGCAAAAACATGCAGCAACTCTGTTTTATACCTTAACCACAGTACAGTTATTGTTTGTTTTTTTAATAACACATGGTTCACATTTCATGCGCTACCAAAAAATTGTGTCACCTGCAGATTTGGCCTTCATGTCTCGAGGAAACTTGCGGCAGACACTGTTGTAGTTGGTGCAGATGTGGTGGAGACACCAGCCAGTGAGCTGCTGAGCACCATGGAACTATAGAGAAAGAAAATAATCATTTATTATCATCATCAGAATAATGCTTTAACTGACATTTGTTTAAGTTAACACTTTTTTGTTTTTTAATTGTTTTGGGTCGAGAGTTAAATTGCACTTGTCAAGATTATAAAATTTGTTATGCAGATAAAAAATTCAACTATATATACTAAAAATTTAATGAGAAAATGCAATGCTGCAAAATTAGTGAGACGTTTCTTGCAAAGTAAAAAACACAACGAGGAGACCAGACCAAATCAGAAACAAATATTCTTTTTAATTTAACTAATTGTTATTATTTAAATTGTCCATTTAAATAAGTAAAGATTTTGCTTCATTTTTAAAACTTTGTAAAATGTATCCATAGAAGTATTCTGTAAATCAGAAAAATAAAAAAGTAACATTTGAAAATAATCTGCATTCATCTTCTTTTTCTGAAGCTTTTATTCAAAATGTCCATCTATTCCAACACACACTTACAGTATCGCTGACATCCACAACAGAAGTGAAACCAGTGGCTGAGCACACCTGAGTCCTGTTTTAAACTATAGTGCTGAGTAAGACTGGAATGTCCTAAATTCTTTAGTGTCCCAAAGCTCATTTGTGATTATTTTCCCAAAAAGCTGACTTGCACTCTTTGAAGAATGTGTTTCTTGAGCTCAATGTACAAATTATTACAGCATGCGGTGCACTTTTACATCACACACAGCTATAAAAATTGTGGAATTGTGTGATTTCTGTGCTTGTTACGATCATCAGTACTAGTACCTGGGCCATGTCCAAATACACAAGCACATCTCCATCAATGTCATTTCCCATCATTGCTGCCTCTGTCAACACCGTCACCGTGTAGAGTTCTGATACAGGTACAAAAAGTCACCACAGGCGATGCATTAGTCTAAGATGCTCATACAATAGCTTTCTGTAATACAATTCTGTGGTTGTTACTTCCATGTAAGTGTTACCTGTAAGTGCAACCAGGTGAGGAAGACAAAGACGATTGGCAAGAACAATGAGTTCCATCGCATCCAAGTCAGAGCGAGAGCAGAACCTGCCCGTGTAGAGATATTCCAGCACGGCCCTCATACAGCTGCGAGTTGTGTTCGGAAACAAGACCTTAAAAAGAGAAAAACACAGCGCTAAAAGTCTGCTTCTTAAAATACTATTTTTTAACACAAATTAAAGAACACAATGCATGGGCAAGAAGAACTCCTTTTTGGTGGTTCATTCTTTGATGGTCACCACGTACAGTTTTTACACCAGATGCCTTCCTGGCACAAAGAAGACTTTTACATGTACATTAACTCACTCTTCTCTTTAAGAATTTAGTGATTTTGTGAAGATTCTACATTATTTATTGTGCAAACAAACACTTTGATAGATATTACACTGACAGACAGACCAACTGTCCGACAGACAGTTTTCAAAAGGTCCAAAATTAAAGTACATAAAATAAAATAATAATAATTTTATTATTACTACAATATAATGACTTTATTGTGCCTTTACTGATGACCTCCCCTAAAACACATATACCTGCTATAGATAAATGGTCTTGCAAAAAAAAAACAAAAAAAAACCCAAAAACAAAAATCCCTGGTGCACAAAAGGTTGGAGATCACTGCTTCATTTAGTTCAGTTAAGTTTGCACATATGCAGTTTAACTCAAACCTATTTGGTTGAAATCTTCTAATGTTTTACATTTTCTTCTGATTTACATAAATATATAAAACATAGTAAAGGATGTAAGTGATCTCACTTCTTTAGTGCAGCTCTCCACAAAAGGCCCACCAAACATAGCTGCCATCCAGTCACAGCTAGAGATGAGCAAAGGCTTGTGAGCCATGATCGTCCCGTCATCCAGTTTGAAAACCACATCTGTAGCACAGAGATGGAGAAACAGGTTTTTTTTCCTTTCTTCTCTCTTCATCAGAACACAGGCAAATAAACATGGACCACTCACCGGAGAAAGTGCCTTTGGCGAGACACTCTTTGACTCTGTTTGTGCGCCGTACGTGGAAGGCTTTGGTGATTTCTTGGTTCATGAAGGCTTCATTGTTAAGTATGTTTGCCACCATCATCCGCAGGTCAAACACCTCCAGCAGCTCAGCAATGTGTGCAATGTGCATTAACTCTTTCTCGTTTTCGTCCAGCTGACCAGTGTACAGGTAACGGAGGACAGCATGGAAAGGACCAAGCTGCATGGACTGATCCATGTGAACTACAGTCATGGCCCTTGGCGTATAAGTCAGTGGGTCGTCAACGAGCTCCTCCTGGATGCTGACGAATGCTCGGCTCCAGGAGGACAGCAGTCTGCCTTTACGACTTCCTTGAGAGTCTTTCAAGGTTCCATCACTGGTGCAGGCCCTAAGGTTGGCCCTGTCTCCATCATCACTGCTCTCACAAACATCAAAACTAGCAGCACGCATCAGCAGGTCTCGACCCGAGAGTGGTGCACGAGGGGGCCTTTCACTCTCTTCATTGTGCTGCTCCATACTAAAGAGGTCATAGAATTTTGAGGAGGATGTAGACAGGTATATTTTATGTGCAAAGATTTTCTGTCGTTCCTGCAAAACCAGTATGACATCTGCACAGTGTGGGTCCTCCAGGAGGCCGACAGGATGCTCCTCTGTGGTGGTTGGGGGAGGAGGCACAGTGATTATAGGTGGGGGAGGTTTTGGAGGCAGGAAAGGTGCCTGAAGGAGAGGGCGCTGCACATTTCTGAGGTGAGACTTCCAAAACTGAAGGTGGCGGCGTGAGATGAGCGCAGCTCGGATTGCATTGTCAAAGACGTCCTTGACTCCAAACTGAGCCACAACACTGGTTTCGTAATATGGCACTCCCAGCTCTTTGGCCACCTCTCTGCCTCTCTCTGGAGGGAGAATCTCATTGGACTTAATGGGTCTGAAAAATAAGAAATTTCAAGAGAAGAAACATATTTTAACTAATTGTTATTGATATATTTCTGTGTAGATTAAGCTATAATACCTTGCCAAAGGCCTCCGTGCTCTGTTCACGGCCTCCAGGTCTGCATACCGGAGGTCGAGTTGACAGCCCACCAGGATGACAGGGGCTCGGGGGCAGAAGTGTTTGATCTCAGGATACCACATGGTTTTTACATGGTACAGAGAGTTGGGGTTGGCGATTGAAAAGCACAGAACCACCACATCTGATCTATAGAAAATATGAAGAGCATGTTCTTATAATTCAAACAGGACCCAATAAAATCAATATTTAGTTCAACATTTGGTTAGTTAATATGTGCCTTTGGTACGCTGTATAGAAAACTCAGGATCTTTCCACTAAACACATCTGCTACATTCACCAAATATTTGTAATATCTCACCTGCCATATGCAAAGCGACGGTCCTTATGATGGTCCCCAAAGGTGTCCCAGAGCCGAAGGGACACACTGACATCATCCACCACGTCCCTGGAACGCTCTAATACCTAATGCACAAAGTTAATTAATTTGTCCACTTGTTTGTGCAGATTAGTAGGAAATACTTTCACCTGCTTTTTTGACATAGGCAAAAAAAAAAAAGATAAATCTGAAGACAATTTTGATTTCTCACCTCCTGGCAGACTCTGTATTGGTCAATGGCCCAGACCGTGGGCACATGTGTGGCCAGCAACTGATACTGAGTCAGCGTAGCATTGCAGGCCCGGGCACATATGAGGCGGGTCTTTCCAACTGCATTGTCTCCCACCACCACACACTTGATAGTCTCAACGTTTGGTCTCTCATAGTCCATATCAGAATCCTTCATCTGAGACCTGCCGTAATACAGAGGAACACAGAGAGCAGCTGCATCAGCAGCAGAAATTCTAAACTGTCGTACTGTATTTTTCTTCCGGGAACATTAATCAATACTGATATCAGACACTATGGCTACTCATCAATATCCGCTTGTGCAGTAAAACTCTTATAATGTCCTCCAGCTCATTCACAAGTTCTCTATCCTGCCCATTCAGTTTTTAACCCTCAAACATCATGTCTGCAAAAATGTATATTAAACTTTTTTTTTTTTTACTTTTTTGGTTGAATAATAAAAGCAGAGCTTTTTTGCAATCAATTTTTAACCATCAACGCTCTGTAACCTAAAATGTAATTTCCTGACCTTAAACCTTTAGCTGTAGAAATCAGTAAATTATGTAAGGTGGTGTCACTGGTGATTTAGGAAAACATAAATGGTTTTGTCATTATTTTTTTCTCTTGTTTCTGAATGATAACTAGTGTTTCAAACAAAAATACATCTTTATTAAATATCATAATAATTTGCATTTTATATCAAAATCTAATCTTGAAAAGATGTGATTTTAATGCAGTTACCTTCTTGCCTTAACAAAGTTTCATCACTGGTAACATAATCTGAATGGACTCTCATATTAGACTCCCACAGTGTGCTATTTTTACCAGGGACATTATGTTTTCTACTGTATCTGTTGGTCTTCATTATCAAGCCTCTCATGCCTCACCTCCAGAGGTCACCTACTGATCTATGCAGAGACAGGAGTGTGACTTGGTGTTCGAAACAGTACAGTGATGAGGTCATGCAGTTTTCAGCCATTCATATAATCTATCTTTTTATTTTTTTTTGTCTGAATCAGGCTTAATAATATGGAGTCCTTTAACTATGATGCCAGTCATGAAAATAAGATCAACAAACATACATGACATCAGTGAGCAGCCTGAAGCTACCCAAGGACCCATGCAACTCAGACAGCAGCAACACAGTGAAAATCACATTAGTGTTCTAGGGTTAATAAAGGCTGTACAGTATGGTATGTCTAAAGCCTAACATTAATTCCAGGTATGGTGTGAGTATATATTCTTAGATTGACTCACAGAACTGCTAAATAACCAGCTGACATGCGCTCATGCTGTCCTCAAAAATAATATGTCATTGACTGAAAATATATCTGGAATATGTTTTTGTATTCAAATGTTTTTTTCTTAAGATTTTGTACAATTACAATTTGTCACATTTTCTCTGCGAAATACTAAAATAACAGGAGTGGCCGATGACACAGGTACACACACCGTCTGTGGCTATGAATGAACGCATGTGTACACACATACACCTAGAATAACCCAGGGTGGGCCTGTATAAACAGGACACCAATAAAGCGCCTGTTGTGACGTCACTCATTTCTGTTACAGTCTACTCTGCGCAACGCTCAAAATAACTCATTATTTTGAAGACGCTGTTATTGACATTGAGTCCAAACCAACACATCTACCCCCTTCCATAAAATTAGCCTGCAGCCTTAGATATCGACCATAACGCAGATGATAAAATTGCGTGTTTTTTCTACCAACAGCAGCAGGCGATGAGTCCTACCGTCACCGGGTCCCTGTCAATCATGAGGTTGCGCTGCATTTTTACACCTTACATAACACTGACTTCTGTCTGCATTCAACCCAGCGTTGAGTAACACCTAAATAATAAAGGAAATAAGACGCATAAAACCCATTGCTTCCGCCCGTGCATGTCGTCTTCTTACCGTAGCATAAGGAAGTGAAGCGTGGAGCTGGTCGATGGAGGAGAAGAAAAGCGACGCAGCTCCATCGGATGCGGCTTGCACCTGACGCCAGCTCCTCTTTAACTTCATCTTCGAGGCGAAAGTGATTGCAGCTTGAAAACAGGCGAACCCTACCGACCGCGGGTGTTGACAGTGGACAGTGGAAGTCTTTTCTCCTACGCCCCGGGGAGAGATCAGTGCGAAGATTCCAACTGCAGAGCCTCAGAGGCGGGCGCTGATCTGCAGCCCTGTCGGTGCGCAGCAGAGCAGCAGCTCTGACCGTCACATAACCACTACCACTCACCGTTCAAGGCCTCGCTCCGTGGCTAATAATAGACAGGCGAGGAAAAGAGAATATCCCATTCATTACAAGGCAGTGATTTAAAGTGCCACCAATCCTATTTCACAGCTGCTTTACAAGCTTTGTAACCAGAGAACTGCAACATCCTGCAGTCTACTGTATACAGTCTGGGCTGGACTTTGCACTATTTAAGGTAGAATGAGCATACACCGCAGCGTTTGTAAACAAAGAGCCTGCAATAGCATATCTTTCCCTGCACTTTAGGGGGCGCCCTATATTAATTCGCTACGGATCAACATATACTGTAGAGGAAGAACAACTCAAACTTATAGTTATGGATAATTTAGAGCAGAGCTGCCAATGCATTTTTGGGCAATGTTATAAATGTTAATAAGAAATTTATCAATAAGAATTGTATATACTTTACATGTACAATATACTTTATGTTTGGTTACATGTATAAACAAACGGGTTTGTTTATACGGGGTTTTAATTGAAACAAAAAACAACATAACAAAAAAACAAACAAACAAACAAACAACTACAACCTTCAAACACAGTGTATAATTAAACTACGTCTGTGTCTTAACAGACTCTGGGAAGAATCTGGAGTATCTGGTGGAACCCCCCTAAGCTCTTCATTACTGAAACACACACAGAGATGTAAGAGCAGATGCAAATGACATACAGGATGTTCAAGTCAGGACTTATCTGACCCTTTACCGTGAGGACCACGAAACACCGTTCCATGAAAAGACACTGTATTGTTTATTTTTATTGTTGTACATATTGCATACAATTCTTCGGGAGAGGTGTGTTTGTGAGAGGAGGTCACAATTAAGAGCATCACATGTTTTATATTAATTTATAATGTAGAACTCTTGTTTGATTGTTTTTTGTTTAAATGCAGCTGTCTTTTGTTGGTAGTTTTGTAGCCTTCTCCTGTCTCATTATTTAGCAAATTTCCTTCAAATCTTCTTCTTTTTCTTTTGGCTTTGTCCCATTTTCAGGGGTTGCCACAGCAAATCATTGTTTTCCATCTCTCCCTGTTCTCTGTATCTTCTACTCTGACTCCAACTATCTCCATGTCCTCCCTCACTGCATCCATATATCTCATCTTTGGTCTTCCTCTCTTTCTCCTACCTGGTAGCTCCATCGACCAACATTCTTCTACCAATGTATCCACTGTCCCTCCTCTGCACATGTCCAAACCATCTCAATCTGGCTTCTCTAGCTTTTTCTCCAAACCTTCCTGTCTGTATTGTCCCTCTAATGACCTCATTCCTGA